TGATGTCAGAGGGATTATTCATTATGAATATATACTATCTGGACAAACAGTTAACCAAGTTTACTATTTGAAAGTGCTGAAAAGGCTGCATGAAAAAGTTAGACAAAAACGAGTTGAACTTTTTGCGATAAATGCATAGCTCTTGCATCACAACAGTGTACCAGCTCACACGGCACTGTCTGTAAGGGAGATTTTTTTTTTTAAAGATTTTTATTGGGGAATTGGGGGGATGGGAACAGTGCTGGGGAACTGGGGGAAGGGAAACAGACAAGTTGCTGTCGTTTGTTCTTCAGTCTAGTTGTGGAGGACGTTGCTTCACTGGCCCAAGTTGGCACCATCATTGTGCTCTTCCTGGGCGAGGCAGATCAGTCACCTGCTTCTGGACGGCTGCTCACTGTGGCTGCTGGCCGCTCATGCTGGCTGCTGGCCACACACGGTAGCCCATGGCAACCCACTGCCACAGGGGCTGCAGCCTACGCCGCCACTGGCGATTCACGGCAGCCCAGCTCCAGGTTGAGCTGTTGTGCAGCATCTTAGCTGTGGAGGGCAGTGTCACTGGCCCTCACATGTGGGATCCGAACCTAGGCCCTCTGGCGTCCCAAGCGAGTTCTTAACCATCGCGCCACTCGGCCGGCCCTGTAAGGGAGATTTTAGCCAGTAAACAAATAACTGTATTGGAACACCCTCCCTACTCACCTGATCTGGCTCTCAATTATTTTTTTCTTTACCCGAAGATAAAGGAAATATTGAAAGGAAGACATTTTGGTGACATTCAGGACATCAAGGGTAATCCGATGGTAGCCCTGATGGCCATTCCTGAAAAAGAGTTTCAAAATTGGTTTGAAGGGTGGACTAGGCACTGGCTTCCCAAGGGGAGTACTTTGAAGGTGACCGTAGTGATATTCACTCATAAGGTATGTAGCACTTGTTCTAGGATAAGTTCATGAACGTAGTTGTCAGACCTCCTATGGCCAATATTTAGCCTTTAGACCTGCCTTTCTGCAGCATTTGATAGTACCGATTATCTCCTGGTCGTTAGCCTCTAGGACAGCCCTTTTTCTTTTTTGCTGATTTATCTTCTTAATCTCTTTAATTGTCTCTCACATCTATTTTCAATGGTTCAGAAGCTACTTCCCTCTCTCCCTCACCCATCCCCAGAATTTGATCCTTGATCTCTACATGCTGTTTTAAATTTTAGTGACAATTCATGGGTTGATGACTCAAATCTACAGACTCTAGCCTCAGACTTTTCTTTGAGGTTCTTTCTAGCTTCCTGTTTCCAGCTATCTGATTACATCTCCATGTCAGTATCAACAAATCAGTAGGGATTTTACAAAACCATGGGATTCTCTTGGTGATTTTCTTAGCTAGAGCAGAGGAAACAAGTGAAATAGCCAGGAAGGCCCTTGATATTGCTAGTTATGTGTTTGTGTAGCTATATATACATATGAACGTACATAATTGTTTGTTTTACCACATACTTTGAAGTGGAATTTAGTGATTAGGCAAACAGTATTGTGATTTAAAGTTTTTGTTTGAGAAAAGATTTTATCTGTGCTTTATGAATGTAGTAAGTAGACTATAATAAGCAAGTTATACTTTATGGTAGTTCTTGTTCTTCATCTTCACGTCATTTTTGTCTTCTTCCACCCCCACCCCCACCCTTCTTCCATTCCTTTGTAAGAGAAAAATACTCAGAACCTGTCTTACAATCAGTAGTTTGGGAACTTCCAGGCTTCTTTACCAGAATTTCCCTGGATGTTTCAGTACCTAAGGTAAGCACCATTGTTTTGGGGTAGGAATTTTTATAATGGCTATCAGGCAGAGTAGCCAAGGTTGCTAACTGCAGATATTACCCTTTGCAGAAACTCAGTTGGAAATTCTTTTCTTCCAACTCTTATTTTACCTGTAAATTAAAAAA